TGTGTCCGCATTTGTCCACGGGCATTGATATAAGCTGGGATATATCATGGCATCTGACTGCTAATTGATATTCATGCAGGCGAAGATGAAGAGGGCGTCTGATTTACCCGACGTAGTGTTTTTTGCAGTTGGCACAATTTATTTTGTAGATGATGTTTGGTTTGTCTTCTTTTATCATTTCATCCTTTGGTTTGCATAGAATTGATCGTAGTGATTTTGTCGGTTTGTGTGCAACACTTATTCTGCAGATTTCCAGCAATCTTATTGTCGTTTCTAATATTTCTTTTATACGTGGTAGGGTGATCCGTTTGCTGATTTCTGTAAGTGACTTGGTTTCTGATGATGCGTTCGGCTGGCATTTTTTGTTGAAGTTGTTTGAGTAGCCGTTCCTCTGAAAGATGTTCATCAGGTAGCTTACTTCATATATTCGTGCTTTGAGTGTGTTGTAGTGTGTCCTCGCTCTCTTCAACAAAGTTCGACGCAGCTGATTTTCTGAGATTTTTGATTATTGCTATTGTAATTGAGACTTTGATCTGTGTGGTATGGCTTCCTATACCTTTGAGTCCTAGTTCACCTGTGTCAGAAATTGCGCTTTTTGTATTCTGGGCTTAATAAAAACGCTACGATAAACATCAGTTCAACTTACCATATGACTGAAGGAAGAGTGTGTTGTAGTAAGTTGAAATAACGTTAATTATGGTATTAATAATAAAAATAATGATAATGAGGAATGTTCGGATTAAGGCCGGGGAATTATGGTTTATATCATTAAAGGTAGTTCTGTAGTTTTATTTGGTGAAACGAAAGGTCACATAACATTTGTGAATATGCAATTGCCATAAAGAAAGAATCGAGTGTTTTAATGTGCAGTTGAAACTTGTCTGAACAATCTGAATAGAAATTCACCAAATTGTAATTGATTGTAGAACGAGTATATTGATCGATGCGATTCTCTTAGTACATGACACCAGTTGACTGATGTGTTGAAATGGAACATTGAAATTAACGCACTTACTAGTACATTTCACGAAACCGATCATCATCATCATCATCATCATCATCATCATCATTATCATCATCATCGGAATTATTCGGTTCACTCGAAAATAGACAGATTACAGTGATGATTAATGGATGACAATTGCACAGTTGATGTTACAGTGCACATATTTTCCGAGGAGAGACAGAGACAGAGATGAATGAAGGAAATTAGGCAGTGAGTTTGTTTGCTCTGAAATCAATAATTGTAGAGATGAATGGGGATAGAATGAGGAATCTGTGGAAATGAATAATCACTTTAGAATAATATTCGGATTCATACAGATTGTAGTGTAATTTCAAATGTATAATCAATCAGTGATTACAAGTTGTTCAATGTTAGCTTATTTGTTGTTTACATATCGGAACAGATCAAATTGATCACAATTGTTTGTGGCAAATCATCATTGACATGGAAGGAAGGAAGGAAGGAAGGAAGGAAGGAAGGAAGGATAATGGTGAAAAGTCGATTTGGACATTTGGCAGTTGATGGCTGATGTCTATTTCATTTGAACAATCATTTGTATATATATATATATGTTAAGTGAAATGTTTATGATCCGTGATCAGAATTCATTTGGGTTGAGATAGAGTGAGAGAAATATTAGTGCAATTACAATTCGATCAAGTGTGCAAGTGTGCAAGTGTGCAAGTGTGCAAGCGTGCAAGAGTATATTGTGTGAAATATGATTAGTAAGACATGATAAGGTGGGATGAATACGAAGTGAATGAATCATGTATAGGAGAGATTAATAATGATGTTTAACCAATAATAATAATAATTGTGGAGGATTGGTTTATACTGACACTGTGACCTGTTTGCACTAAATAGTCCAATATCGAGCTGTTCACTTTGTTCACCAGACCCTTGCTTAGCCATGGTGGGAGGTGTTCGCGAGTACGTGAACAATATTCTTCGTTCAAATATTAGTCGTGAAATTATGCAAGTGTCAAGTGATACAAAATCCAGTCACAGCTTTTCCTATGCACTCTTCTTATTCATCGAGTGTGGAAAACTGTGCACAATCAATATTGAGTGACCATGACTAATGGTCTTGTTCACACTAGTTTCACTGAATTCAGTCATCAGCATTGACAATGCAAACACGGAATCAATGCCTACTCAGTAGAACAGGTTCTCGAACACTTGACGAATGATGCATTACATGGTGTTGTAAAATGTGATTACTGACACTGATCGATGAGTTCAAGCATTTTCAGGGTAATTGGTACGTTTACTTCTGTTAGGTGTATCGAAGCCACCAGTTCACCCAATTGAGAAACGCGTAAAACCGAAATTGTGTTGCGTTTAAACAAATGCACAAAACTGTAGATAACCGCTACGATGATTGAGCTAATGTAATTTGAATGATAAATAAAATGATAAATACAATAAACATTATTATAAGTATATGTAAATATTTCACAATATTACACAATAAACATGCGTTAGAAGATTAGTGTAAAAATTACAGGGAACACAACTATTTACTGAATGAATGTAAATAAGTAGTATAAAACAATAGACAAAAGAGTGGAAGAGGGCTGAGTGAGAACCATATAATAGAAATGTTACACCGTCACACCACACCAAACACAACATGTATTTCCTTATTCTCACTGACTAGATATTCAGCCTGAACACATTCACAGTTGACAATGGTACAATTCACTCTGGCCACAGTTACTCTGGAAAGTCATTGTACACTCTATGACTCAATTGTCTATTCTCCTAAATAACAAATCGTACGCAAGTTTCTGGTGCATATTTCTCACCTTTACCATTCTCATGCATAGCAGTTATAGTAAATCCTCACTTAACCCATGATAATCTCAGATTGGATTAAATATCGCTCGGAATTGACCAATAAGTCGACATGATTCAGCATCCAATGTACATCGTGTGAATGCATTTGATAAGAATACTGAAGCAGCTTTAATAAGGTTACCTACATGTTCAGTGCAATTCTTACAGACACATTTTCCAGCTCCGAAACTAATATGATATTGTAGCTGTTAAATAAAATATGGTATTTCTGTAACGAAAAAATGTAATACTAATGATAAATCAATTTATCCATCATAACCTGAACGTGTTGCACATCCAATCGTTGTTTCCATGATTTGTTTGATGAAAATTCCATATGTCTGACACGCCAAGGAGAACTAAACAAAACTAAATAGATAAAATGACAACTATCAGTAAATATTGTAGCGAATGCACCATCGACATGATAGTTCAATGAAACTATATCACATCCGTTATGTTGACCTGCTGATTGATATATGCAGTAAACAAACATTAAGCCGTTCTAGCATTTCCAGTTGATTATACTGAGCATTAGAATCGCGTATAGTTGTCTTCGATATACCACCTAATCGACTAACTAGTATTGGTGAGCATGGTTTATTTCAATTGGAGTCTAACCAATCCCCTTGTTCTAACAGTGAAAGTTGTCTTGTAGCTCTTAAATGATCAAAAACATTATTACATCCTACCAATGATTCTAATGAATGTTGACTAGTTCGTTTACATACAGGAGATATCGGTTGATCAAACGATTGATTCGAATCTTGCACCAACCTCGATTTAACCTGTTCTGAATGTGTACGTTAAATAAATGCGTTATGTTTAATGCCTTGTTGGTTGCCACAAACATGAATTAAAAAGGCTGATCAACTTTGCAATGACAAGAATCTCATGAAATTGGTTCGATGTGATAGATTTCAGAGTGATATATTGTACCATCGTATATTGTGATTGTCAAACCACAAACAACATGATTTCACTGACGAATCTGCTTGAACGACGAATTCTTGATGTGCATCGTTCAAATGACCATCATACGATCATTGATTAACATGATATAAGAAACTGGAGACAATAGTGGACATGAAATTTTGCATAATCAACGTTACTTCGGGGTCTCTATGAAGTGTATAAGCAAGCAATTCATCTGGAAATGCTCCACCTCTTAACCTACGACATACATCACATAAGTCAACCGAAATTCGTAATCTCGACCGAGGATCTTCAGTCCATAAAACTTACTGAGTTGATGTCAATGGTTGAGCAAATGATAACGAAGTGATTGACTGATGATTACTGATATGATCATCACGACAAGTTAGAACACACTACATTCCTCATTTGTTGCACCGAATTGAATGTGGCGAACACTTGGATTTGAAGAAGCCTTCCGCCACAAGGAATTGAATAATATGACACTTTTGAATATTACTCCACACTACTGATCAGTATTGAGTAGCACGTCTCATTCCCGTAGAGAGTATGATAAGAAAGTGATATGAAATGAGATATATATGTATATATATGATGAGTTTTTAACCACCTGATCAAAGTAGATCCAAGCAATCATTATTCATAGTTAGCAAACAGAGACAGAGACAGAGAGTGATAGTGAGAGTGAGAGTGGGAGAGATTAAGATAAGAGGAGAGTGAAAGCTTTTAAACGAATATGTATTATTGAAGTGGAGAAGACTAATTGTAATTATTGAAAGGGCATAGAGAATACGTGTTACGCTGTTGTTTGTACACAGGACATAGTCAATGGAATATTCAGTTGCTGATTTCATCTTGCACAGCAACCGATAACCAGTAATGTTGACAGTCGATTGCATAATGTCATGGTGTACAAATATGATTTGAGATGGATGATTTATCATCATACCAGTTGATTGATGTCTTAACAAGAATATCCGATAATTTTATTCTGTGTTGTGTATATTCAGTGATTAGTGCAAAAATGAAAATGTACAATCTCATTCAATGATGAGAATGTGAAAATGAGCCAATGATGGATACGAGAACCTAACGAAAACGGTCACAAAACCTAATCGCTAAGAGTGAGACATTGATGTCTGATCATGTTGTTGTTTGAATTTCAAAAGAAGTTAATGTAAATAAACGGTGAGTGTAACACTGATAAACAAACCCTGAATTATACTGTGAATAGAATGATATGAAGATGATGATGATGATGATGATTTGGATGATGATGATTTGGATGATGATGATGATGTTGATGGTGATGATGATGATGATGATTTGGATGATGATGATGATGATGATGATGATGATGATGATTTTGATGGTGATGATTATGATGATTTGGATGATGAAGATGATGATGATTTGGATGATGATGATGATGATGATGATGATTTGGATGATGTTGATGATTTGGATGATGATGATGATGATTTGGATGATGATGATGATGATTTGGATGATGATGATGATGATTTGGTTGATGATGATGATGATTTGGATGATCACGATGATGTAATGATTTGGATGATGATGATGATGATTTGTATGATGATGATGATGATGATGATTTGGATGATGATGATGATGATGATGATTTGGATGATGATGATGATGATGATTTGGATGATGATGATGATGATTTGGATGATGATGATGATGATGATGATGATTTGGATGATGATGATGATGATGATTTGGATGATGATGATGATTTGGATGATGATGATGATGATTTGGATGATGATGATGATGATGATTTGGATGATGATGATGATTTGGATGATGATGATGATGATGATGATGATGATGATGATGATGATGATGATGATGATGATTTGGATGATGATGATGATTTTGATGGTGATGATGATGATGATGATGATGATGATGATGATGATGATGATTTGGATGATGATGATGATGATGATTTGGATGATGATGATAATGATGTTTGGAATAAATGCCTTATTATCTAATACAATAACAATAAACATGCTTATGTATAAGGGATGGACGTGTGAACCACAATATGAGGGAAGCAAATGTCGAATGTGTAATTTTCTTTTATGGGAAGTAGAAGAACATGTTTATGTGAAGGCATTCACTAATAATTCAACAACAACAACAACAATAGTCATAATAATAATAATAATAATAATAATAATAATAAAGGGTTAAGGTCAGGATGGAGATGAATATGGGAAATGATTGATTTGTAAAGAGAGTTTGAATTGCAATTGGATGGATATCTGGATGATGTATTGTGTTCAATAGTTGCTACTGATGACAATTGAAGATACTTGTGAACTCGTCACACAATCGTGTCGATAATGTGACGACGTGAAAATGTTCAATAAATCCCACTGGAAACTTTCCGAATTCTGGATAGACAATCGCTATCATCACTAACCAAGATCAGGTCTGATTACATTGTAGTCAACAGTTGTGAATGCAACCTGATTGCCTGTTAATCAGAGTTTGGTTAGTCAGTAATTGTTGTAGACAATTCTACTTGGAAACCTAGTCAAATTTATTGTTCACTTATCAACCTTGATGAACACACACACACACACACACACACGAACAGATCGGTAAATTCGAGAATATCGAAAGTATATTTTGCCAGAGACAACATTTTCAAGCACTTCATATATCTGTGGGAAATGTTGTGGTGAATTTGCCTACATGAAGTGTGAAGAGGGAACAAGCATGGTTACTGAACAATAACAATGATACAACTAAGCCATATGGTGTTTATGAGAAAAAAACGCAGAGATGTTCAACATCTACTCAATGTTTGTAAACACAAAAATATGCACAACACTGATACATAAACAACGAATTGTAAACTGAATGGAATACGTGCATGGGAATATACGTCACATTGTTCAAGTCGGAGTGATATTAATAATAATAATAATAATAATAATAATAATAATAATAATTAACAGGTTGGTGTGACAGAGAAATGGGGTTGGTGTGGGTTTGTGGAATCATGTGAATAAATAAACATAATGAGAAGACTACAAATTGCATTCTATGAATGAATGCAGTTGTTTATTTACAAAATGATAATCAGAATAACCATTCTAGGTAAAGGTCAAGTAAATGAAGAACAGAGATGGGAAATCTCTCATTTGTATTGGGATTTTCAGCTTCATCTGATATTTCATCGCAATATGTATAGATCTAAGCAGCTTCAAATAATCAAATGTTATCAGACATTGAGTAGATTCATTGAACAATAGTGAAATACGATTGTGAGTTATCTGTGTTGTATAAGTCAATACGGTGTTTCAACATAAACATTCTCAACTGATCTCGTTTTATACTTGTGTAAACAATTCGATACGACTGATGGTTTAGTTGGTGAAAGTGAACCGTATCCTCAACCAATACATCTTTCATCATAGTAGTACAAATTATCGATGGCTGTCCAAAGTGAAAGTGAGCTTCATAGATTTTCTATGTATTATTTATTATCTGCAAATGTGTTTACTAATTTCGGTGAAAGATTTATCTTTAATATGCTACTTACTGTGTAAATTCTGTTCAGCAGGCTTCATAAAAGTACTAACCGATCTGACTGGAAGTGTTTCATTCGGTAAACATTGTTTATATTAGCGTTTGAGCATAATGTACATTTCACATAGGCTCTGACAGCGTTCATTATCAGGTTCAATGGTTGTTGTTACACGACGCATTTGTTAGTCTACTGTTAACATGGAAACGTTTGATATTACGATCTGAACACAGCATACGTATAGGCCGCCGTCCTGCATTCTCCAACCCACTCTGTCCTGGGCCTTCTTTTCTAGTTCCATGCAATTCTTGTTCATTTTTCTCATATCCATCTCCATTTCCCGGCGTAATGTGTTCTTTGGTCTTCCTCGCCTTCTTCGGCCTTGAGGATTCCATGTGAGGGCTTGTCTTGTGACGCAGTTCGGTGCTTTCCTCAATGTGTGTCCTATCCACTTCCAGCGCTTCTTCCTGATTTCCTCCTCCACTGGGATCTGGTTTGTTCTCTCTCACAGTAGATTATTGCTAATAGGGTCTGGCCAACGGATCCGAAGTATTTTGCGTAGACAACTGTTAATAAACACCTGTATCTTTTGAACGATGGATTTCGTAGTTTTCCAGGTTTCCGCCCCATACAGTAGAACTGTCTTGACATTTGTATTGAAAATTCTGACTTTGGTGTTGGTTGACTGACAGTTGTTTTGAGTTCCAGATATTCTTCAGTTGTAAATATGCTGCTCTTGCTTTGCCAATCCGTGCCTTCACATCTGCATCAGATCCACCGTGTTCATCGATGATACATTCCAAATATGTGAAGGTTTTCACATCTTCCAAAGCTTCTCCGTCAATTGTGATTGAATTGGTACATGCTGTGTTGTATCGAAGAATCTTACTTTTCCCTTTGTGTATATTGAGACCTATTGCTGCTGAGGCTGCTGCTGCTGCTGCTACACTGGTTGTCTTCTCCTGCATTTGTTGTTGCGTATGCGATAGAAGAGCCAGATCATCTGCGAAGTCTAGATCATCCAATTGCATCCTAGCTATTCACTGTATCCTGTGCTTCCCTTCAGATGTTGACGTCTTCATGATCCAGTCGATCACCAGGAGAAAGAGAAAGGGTGAGAGTAAGCAACTTTGCCTGACACCGGTCTTTACTTCGAACGATTTTGTCAACTGTACTCCATGCACGATTTTGCAGTTTAATCCATCATAGGAATTCTGTATGATATTGACTATCTTCTGAGGCACGCCGTAGTGTCGAAGAAGCTTCCATAGGGTTGTTCTGTCCACGCTATCAAATGCTTTTTCGTAGTCAATGAAGTTGATGAAGAGTGATGAATTCCACTCAATCGATCGTTCTACAATGATCCGTAGAGTTGCGATTTGATCTGTGTTGAAAGAAGAGTGATTCCCCTGCAGTTATCACAGTTGCTGAGATCGCCTTTCTTTGGTATTTCGACCAGAGGTCCTTCTTTTCAGTCTTTAGGTGCTTGTTCCTCACCCCAAATCTCTCTGAAGAGAATGTGGAGTATCCATGATGATGAACTCTGTGAACACAACTGAATGTGTGAAGCGATTGACTGTTGCTTAAACAGTATTCCTTTGACTTGGTTAGCTGAAAATCTGATTGCATAATATTAAGTTTTCTTCATGAAATCATCACCATATAAATTGAGAGCTGTCAATTAATCTGCTTCAATCAACTGGTGAGAAGAAATCAATGAGTTACTATGAGCAGCTACCCGATTGGTCAATCTGTGCATAACTAAAATTCCACCAATCACTTGATTCATCTCCACTATATAAACAGCAGCAGCAGCAGCAGCAGCAACAGAGGCAGCATCATCAGTTGTTATAGTCGAACGATACTTCCTTTCTTATGCGTTTCAAGCTGCATCAAATGATTGAATATTCGTTCATTATCACCGCGTACATTTCAATTTATCACTTCAATTGCTTTCACACACAAACAAATGTGACAAATAACTTCACATTGTTATCCTCATGTGAGCAGTGTCCGAAATGTAATACAAATAATATGCATTGCAACTATTCACAATGGATAAGGAGATTGGGACTACCAACGCAGACGTTCTTACAAGACTACTTGTTGAAAACAGTGAAAACCAAATCAGATTGCTTCACTGAATGCCGATCTTATCCTCAGTGTAACTTATACACATATAAATTTGTAAGTTCCACATGCGTTTTACACTTTGACTGAACATGTAGGTAAATATGAGAGAGAGAGAATTGTAGTAGTGAAACGCATTACTATTTGTTTCCAATTTGAACTGTATAATGATAGACGTAGTAACTTGATGAGCATTGAATAATAATAATAATAATAATAATAATAATAATAATGTGGATAATGCCTTGTTACCATAATCAAATCAACTGTGTACAATCTGCATTGTTGAGAAGCTCTGAGTAACGCTATTGATTTTATAGTCAAACGTATATTGCGATTTGAACTGAATGGATGACAATGGAAAGCAACTAACTAAGAGAATTCAATGAAGGTGTATTTGTTGATAGGCTGTTTTATTTTGATGATTCCTATGTTGGTTTTGTATTCAGATTAGTTAGTGTTGAGATGAAATAGAATGAAACGGTTGTGTTAGTCTGCTCACCATCTCAGTTGTAATCAGTGAATGCAAGAACTAAGTGTTCAGTAACTAGACGTTCATATATATCATTGCGTTTAATAAACTAGTTATGATTTGGACCTGCCACTTTCCATAGTAAAGCAGTTCGCAGTCCATCAGAACTTCCCAATCATATTGGTTCTTTCAATATTTCCGACAGTCACATAACTTCCAGTCGACCATATTCTCTCCAATCAATCTGAAAGAAATCAACCTATTCTGTTCTTATTGAAAATATTGTTACTTGTAGATGACAAGCATCGTTTGTAGTTTGAGTGAACTGAGAGTTTCAATCAACTATTCAGTGTTGAATATGGATTATTGATATTATTGAATGAAATGCTACATACATCAATCATTTGATGTATGAATTGAAGATATAAGAAGTAACTTTTCAAACTTCTTCTTATTTACAGGTGAAACGGAAATTGTGCGATCTGTATTCTGGACTGATTGAACACGCTATGATAAACATCAATTCAAGTGACCATGTGACTGGAGGGAGAGTGTGTTGTTGTAAGTTGAAATCATGTTTATGATCATGGTAATAATGAGCAATGTTTGAAGTGTCAATGACTAGGGCCAGTGTATTATGCTTAATATGATTGAGGATAGTTGTGTTGTATTTTATTTCGGTGAACTGAAATGACACATATCATTTGTGAATATGTAGTTGGTATAAAGAAAGAAGCAAGTGTTTCAATGTGTAGTTGATCGTTAGATGTGAGGTAATCTTTACTGATTAAAACTCACTGTGTCTTAATTGTGCATAGAAATGTCAGTCAGTAAGCAATGGTTGACG